GAGCCGATGGAGGTCACCCGATCTCCGGTGAAACCGACTAATGAGGTTTGGAGAGGGGATAGACTTTTTTCCCCGATCTTGAACTGGCAGAAGCGATTCAGAAAGATGATGTTTGAAGAACTACTGTTGTCGACGAGAACCCCGTCTGACCTTGTAGTTGGAGAGGACGGCCGAAATGACGAGAGGGTCGTCATGGGGGTAACGGATGCCTATGCAGTCGACTTTCGTAAAGGTGATGGGCTCCATCCACTGCTTGGGCTATTTGGGAGGGCGGTCTAATGTGGCAACTTTTTTGTCTGAGCCCTGTCTTATTTTTCTGAGTTCTGTCCACTGAGCCGAGCGGGATGGACCTCCACAAGCAAGCCTGTCTGCTATGACTCTGATTTCTCCGACAGGGGGGGCGGGGTTACCTTGTGCTCGGGGTTATTACGGAGGGCAATCATGGCCGGGGTTAGGTTGTGCTGGTTGCTGGGGAGGAGTGCGCCAGTGATTTTTTCTGATGGGCTCGGTCCTTTGCCTTTGCTGAGGACGAGTTTCCGTGAACCAACTGAGACGTCCCTGACGTATCAAGCCCTCGACTTGATCTTTGAGGTTAACACACTCCTCGGTATTATGACCGTGGTCCTGGTGAAAACGACAATATGTGGATTGGTCTCGCCGATTGGAAGGAGACCGTGATAGTTGGGGCCATTTGAGGGGATAATCTCGCTGAATCTGGTTCAAGACTTGTTCCATGGGGGAGTTGAGGGGTGTGTATCTTTTGAATCGGCTGGGCGGTCGGGCTGGTGCCGACCGGTCGGTTCGGGGGGGTCGGTCGGCATATTGAGGTGTTTGGTTATTGTACTGGGTGTGTCTAGTTTCCGAATCCTTTCTCTTCTCTCTGGAAGTCGGGTTTTTGGTTGTAGGGTCTTGGCGAGCGGCTAGGGAATTTTCTACGTTCATGTATTTTTGGGCTTTGGAAAGAAGGTTTGCCATGGAGGTCGGGAGGTTTTTTGAGAGGGAGAAAAGGAAATCAGATGACCGTAGGCCGGCTATGAATGTCGTGAGGATGACCGTGTCATCGTTTTCCGCCACCTGCAGGGCTTCGGTATTGAAGCGGGTGACAAAGCTACGTAACGATTCCCTCTCAATCTGACGGATGTTGAGGAGCTAGGTTACCGCACGCCGCTGTTGGGCTCCAATGAAATGGCTGAGAAATGAATCACTGAGGTGCTGGAAGGTATAGACAAAGTCTGCTGGTAGTTAACTAAACCAGAGTCGAGCCGACCCCTTGAGTGTCACGGGGAAAGCCCGACACATGATTTCATCGGGGAATGCATAGAGGATCATGAGGGTTTTGTAGGTCTCCAAGTGATCGACTGGGTCCGTTGTGCCGTCAAAAGAGTCGATCGTGGGCATTTTGAACTTAGGAGGTAGAGGTTTGTCCCTGATGGCGGCAACAAATGAGGAGTTGGCTATGGTAGATGGTTTATGCTGTATATTCTGCATGACCCTTTGGAGCTGGAGCTTCATGGCTCAGAGTTCTGCGTCCCAGAGAGGAATGTTGTCACCACCGGAAGGCAGCGGCGGCTGGACGCTGTTGGCCTCCCCTTCAGAGGTGGGTGCCGGGATCGGTGGATGTGGGCCCCGGGATGGCAAGTTTATACCTGGGGGAGGGGGTTACAAGCCTTCCAAGTTGGGTGGATTAGGCTGCTGGATAGTATGGTTCGGGGCTCGTTCTTGGTTGGATGGGATATCTGGAGGTGGTGGAGGAGGCATAGGAATGTTTCTTTTCTTTGGAGTAGAGCATTAATCAGGGCTTAGTTTTGTTCGGCCAAGCGGTTAATGTTGTTGGTGAGCTCGGTGAAATACTGTGGTGGGTTATTTGGATTGGGAGGGTCGGCTTGATGATCGACAACATTGGGGTGAGAAGCCATGGATCTAGTTGTGACCATCCACCTTCACAGGTGGTAGGAGGAGGTTATGGGGAGAGGGTCTCCGGCAACAATGAGCACAACTGGCGCGCGGAAGAAAAACTTTCCCACAAACGGCGCCAATTGATGATTCACCGGGTTCCAAACGGAACGGGTCGAACTGATCCACGCTTCCCAAACCGGTGTCCGAGTGAGCAAGCCCACAGAGGAACCTGCACAAGAGTTCAACGGGGAATGGGGAGTCCCCCAGCGAACCCTCCGACGAGCAAGTTAGAGAGAGAGGGACGTGGAATGTAGAGATAGATTGAGGCTGCTGGATAGTATGGTTCGGGGCTCGTTCTTGGTTGGATGGGATATCTGGAGGTGGTGGAGGAGGCATAGGAATGTTTCTTTGAAGTAGAGCATTAATCAAGGCTTGGTTTTGCTTGGCCAGGCGGTTAATGTTGTTGGTGAGCTCGGTGAAATACTGTGGTGGGTTATTTGGGTTGGGAGGGTCGGCTTGATGATCGGCAACATTGGGGTGAGAAGCCATGGATCTAGTTGTGACCATCCACATTCACAGGTGGTAAGAGGGGGTTATGGGGAGAGGGTCTCCGGCGACAATGAGCACAACTGGCGCATGGAACAAAAACCTTTCCCACAAAAGATGCCAAATGATGATACAGTTTGTTCTAGGTGGAACGGGTCGGATTGATCCACGCTCCTCAATCTATGTCCGGGTGGCGAAGCTCACCAGAAGACCTGCACAAGAGTTCAACGGGGAACAGGGAGTCCCCCAGCGAACCGTCCGACGAGCAAGTTAGAGAGACAAATAGAATGCAGAGATGAATTAGAGATAGAAAAGCTTAACGTTCTTCTTGTCTTCGACGTCTGCTTATATTCTCCGGTAATCATTTCGTTATCCCTTCCGACCTGTCACCTTGGCCGAAAGTGTATGCTCTAGCTTACCTTATTCATGGTGAAGGCATTCTGTCTCGACGGAGAGGGATTATCGCAATAAATGCTGTAAGGGGCTTCATTAATGGCGATGTACAGTGGCAATAACTTTGCAGATCTTTGTCTGCTTATGTGGCTTGCCCTTCTCTTGCCATGTGTCTTGTTGTCATTGGTGTTTATTGCTACGTGGGGCTTCTACAATGCTGGACTTTAGTATTTGAGTTATATATTGAGCCCTAAATGGTGGGTTATAATCTTTATGGACTTACCCATGTCACACATAATGCATAGCATCCATCCCAAATCCTAAGTTGCAAAAGTATTTTTGGTAATAATCACTTATTTTATTCATTAAATATCACTAGCATTTGTTTTCTCTTTTGATGGGGTGAAATTGGAAATTAAAATTTTAAAATCATGCAGTTAAGAGAAAATATGAAATTAAATTAATAAAGCCAAGCATTGAGCATATAATAAAGCCTCACAAAATACATAATTTGAGCAATCCAAGGATTTTCAATTGATTTTTGGCTTTAATTATAGAAGCAAATTGAGGGCATGTCACTTGAAGCGCTCAAACGGGGTCCTAATTTTAACAAAATCTTTGAATTTTTTGTATTGAATTTTTTTTTTATAAAAGCATTAAGAAAAAAACAAGTTGAAAGAAGATGACAAGTAAGTTTTTTGAACAAGTACTTATTGGTAACATATCGAGAAATGCACCAACTGAGACTCGATCGTCATCTTGAACATATGAACAACATCAAATTCAACAAGTCAGACAACCGTTTGGTATCATCGATAAAAAGTTAAAAAATTATTAAAAAAATAAAATAAAAATAACACTATTCATCAATCAATTATTTAGTCAGAAAGTTAATATATACGGAGGATAAAAAGACTAAAAAGCCTTTGTTGACATGTGCAGAAATTGAAAAAAATAAAATAAAAACACACAACAACAAAGTGCACTGACGCAACATAGTGCAGCACAATGTGCCTCCGAGCTCAGAAGGGTACTTTGGTAATTTTGTTAGTTAATATAATGTTTTAATATATATTATTTCGTAAAAAGTTAAAAAATTATCATAATCATATATATTTTTTTCCTCTACTTTTTTAGTAAAAAAATCAAAAAATACACTTATATAATTTATCCCAAACAACCATGTATAAAACATGTACAGAGAACTCATCTCAAATTTCAAATATTACATTAAACAAATCAAAAAACCGTAACAGAATAATTCCGTTGTGCATGTACACATAGAAAGTATAACGAAGTAGGCCCATTGTAAATCTACAAATTCGAACTATAAAAATGTTTGAGAGCTCTAATTTAAAAATTCTAATGCAATTCTAATGATGTAAAGAGTATTCATTTGAAAGTAGAGCTCACACTCCTCTCTCTATCTCTCTACTCTCTCTTTTCTACCTCACTAGAGTTCTATTTAGAGTTCTCAAATTAGAGTTATGTATCATTACTCTTCGAACTATACCTTCTGTTCACACAGTAGACTTGAGACAAAATGTTAGCACTTTTAACATTGGAGCAAGAATGTCAAAATTTAGGTTCTGGTTGGTAGAATTTTGAAACTTTAGCTCCGGTCATTAGTTCTCACGTTGTGTTTGTTTGCAGCTTTTAAAAATTAATTCAATGCTTACTTTTGAAAACTCGGTCGAATGAGGGAAAATTTAGGCTAACCGATCGTCCGGTCGATTGATCGAAATAGTGCAATTTTTTTTTTTTGCAATTGACACATGTTAGTTTTTATATATTCAACAAAAAATATTTTCCAAATTTTTTAAAAATTTTTATGAACTTTAATAGAATTTTGAGTTGTGTGTTTGATTATGAGTTGTAAATTTTTATATCAAATATCATATGTTACATTAAAAATTCTCCACTCAATTCAAAACTCATTTACCAAATAAATTTTCCACACTCAAATCATAATTCCAAAACTCATAAACTCAAAATATAACTCTTATTCTCAAATCATATTTAGAAAGTTCTACCAAACACTACCTTACTATTTTTGTTTTATAACATTACCAAATTTTAACAATAGCATGTTAAATTTGACATTTTGCATTGAAGATGCTCTTACACACAAACAGAGACAGATATATGGAGAAACTTATGCTCCATTTAATAAGACTTCATGCTTGAAATAAAGAAAAACAATCAAATGACACAAAATGACACTGAAGAAAGCAAAGGGAAGGAAGAAGCAACATGGAAACAAACATCATTAACTGGTAAATTTGAAAACAAGCTGCCCTATAAATCATTACAAGAAATCATAAGCTATACTAGAAACAAAGTTCAGACCAAACTCCAAACCGACAGCGGTAGAGAGACCTCTTTACTTATGCAATGAGGAACGGCAAAACAGTCAACATGAAAGATTCATAATTAAAAGTTGCCGACCCTGAATACGTAGTGTCCTTTTCCTTAAATTTCTCTGTCAATCCCTGCACGAGACATGATCCCAATCAAAACATCAAGACAAAAAATTAATATTCGATGAACTCCTAAAGTACATTTTTAAGCAAGTTTCACAGAAACTATTCACAAAGTTACAAAATGAAATGCTAAGTTTCCACATTAATTACAAATTTACATATATCAAATATCAATAGCAAGCCTCTACAAAAGAAGAATATTAATCAGTCTGGATTTGGCACTATACTACCAGGGTCAATACCAAACCTCCACAAAAGACAATTATTAATGAGTCTGGATTTGGAACTATACTACCAGGGTCGCATATAAAGGTTTCTTGTTATGCCAATAGGACACAACAGTCAAAAGGCCACTTTAGCCCACTAGTTCACTTAACTTATTAGTCGAAATTATAAAACAAGGACTAAGATATGCAAAAATCACCCTATATAGTAACAGTGGTAATGGTGATGACAAAATTGCCGAAAACATACCTTGACAGTGAGGCAGCACTCAATAAAATTGTCATATTCTATGGCTCTGTTCTTTCCACCAGTCTTATCAAACTTAGAAACCAGCAATTCCAAAACAACCGGTGACACTGAAAATCCTAGACTCAGCAGTGCATCCCGCAATTCTCCGGAATCAATTTTGCCGCTCCGGTCCCTATCAAATCTCTCAAAGATTGCCTGAAGTAACCAAATGCCAATGAACAATTAAATCATCGAGACAGCAACAAATCATAATTTTTAAGTATCGTAGCGCGGAAATCAGAGGTCTTGTATATATAGTATACCCTCCAGTTCTGAAGACTGTAGAACACAGCAGTGAATTCCTTTGGCCCTGTTCTCCAACATTTATTCAGCCAGAAAAAATAAATATCAGCATATTGTACTTTATTTGTTGTATACAAGGGGCAATTTAAAAATTCTACCAGTGATAAAGGATGCAAAAATTATTAAAATTATGAATGCTCTGTTACTTCAGAATAATTTCAGCCACTTAACCTTGATCGAAACAATTCAACAGTGTCAACAAATCTTATGTTCCAAGCTTAAGACAGTCCTTGGCATATTTGTTAATTAATATTCGGCAACGGCAACACTAGGGCCTCGTTTGGAAAATTAGTTATTTTAGTTGGTTATTTTAATTTTTGGTTATTTTAATAAGTTAAAGTTTGTGTGTTTGGGAAGATAATTAGATTTTTTTGTAATTAGATGAGATTTTTATGAGATAAAAAAGTAAAATAATTATGGATTTGATGTGATATTTTGTCTTACTATTAGTTATTTTAGCATATTTTATCTTTTTATGAATTTTAGTCCAAAAAAAAAAAAATTGCCAAAAACCCACTTGCCAAATAGGGCCTAGATACAGTTCATGAACAAGACGGACAGTGTCTAATTCCTTCTCTCCATTGTAAGAGTTCAAAACATTATACGAAGGTTTTATCTATACTATCTAAGGTTTATTACATTTTCTATCAAATTATCTATTTAATCTCTAAATTATCAATTGAGTCTATTTAATCCTTAAAATATATAAATCAAAATCTATTTAATCCATAAATTATAGATTGAATCTATTAAGTTCTAAAATATTTAATTCAAACATATTTAGTCCCTCAAAGGATTAGAAAAATAAAATATATGCCCATAAGTATTATAAATTAATAAAAAAAAAACCTACCTAAATAATATTTTATTACAGAAAAATTTTAAATTTTTATTTTTTCTTTAAAAAGTGTTTTATTTCATTGTGTTTAAATTAGTATTAGAGTCCAGTTTCTCAGTTTTGTCAATAAAATTATATGAGTATTAGATATACTGAAGAAGTAGAATTAGATAATTTAAATAATAACACTTTGCTATAAATAATATTAGAACAAAAAAATACATTAATTAAGTTATAAAAACAATTTAGTGAAAACTTAAAAGCAATCAATTAAAAATTATAAATAAAATCTAACATATAATACTAAATAAAGACAAGCATGTAACTATTGCACAAGATAAGTAAAAAAATCCTTACCCTTATAAAGGAAATTCACCAGAAGAACTGATACCCACTTTTCAAAATTAGAATAAAAATTTAAAATTTTTTTGAAATAAAATTTTAACTAGATATAGGGTTTTTTTACTAATTTATAATACTCATGGGTTTATATTTTATTTTTCTAATCCTACTTTAGGAACTTAATAGATTCAGATGATAGTTAAAGGATCAAATAGATTTTGATTTATATACTTTATGGATTAATAAACTCAATCGATAATTCACAATTAAGTAGACAATTTAATAATATGAAATGTAATAAACCGTATTATCTAATAGTATCTATAGTAACTGCCGAAGTTTTTATTTTTTCTGATTTTTTTCCTCGACCATCTATATTCAAATTTATTATTAATTTTTTTTTTTTTCCAGATGATTTCTACACAAGATGTGTTGCAGTATCGCCACTTGAAAACCAAGACCCATCAAGATGTTATGAGCACATGCAGGGGCGGATCTGCCAAGAGACTGGTAGGGCCTTGGCCACCCCCAAAAATAAATAAATAAATCTTTACAAAATTTTGAATATTTATAATATGCTTAGTATAAAATTTGGGTAAATTAGTTAGGATTTTCTTATAATAATTTATTGGGTGAATTACACTGACACCCTTGAGATTTATGTTTATTACAGTTCCCCTTCACATTTAGAAAATTACACTGATTCCCTGTTAATTTAATTTTATGTATGATGATCATTTCGGTAAGAGGGGAACTGTTATGTAACTTTAAACCTCAAGGAAGGGGATGTAATTTCTAAAAAGTGAAAGGAAAAACAATAATAAATATAAATCTCAAGAGGTGTCAATGTAATTTACCCTAATATATTTTAGATTATGAATAATATAAGTTTTAGACTAAAATAAAAAATATCAAATAGCAACAAACAAATTATAAAAGCTATATACCTCAATTAGATTTTTAAAATTATTTCATAATAAAATAATATATATCAAAAAAATTATATGAAAAATATATAAACTTCATGATTTGCTCCCGATCAACTTTCTCATTCCGTCCCTCAACACACGTAACATAAAATTTGAAAGGCACATGCACACCCTCCCATTTTTTAAGGTTTAATATTGCACGAAATTTGAGACACGTGCCCTATTGCTCAATTAGGCATTATTATGATCCTACAATAAAATTTTCATAGCAACATGCAACCAAATCAAATCATATTTTTTACTAAATCAAATCATCTTGGACAAAATTTATAATAAATTCGTAATTATTTCTCAACATTTTAAGGAGGAAATGCAATTGTTAAAATATAAGATAAATTATAAATACATTTATTTAAATTATAAATTATTTTTTGTGATTTTAAAAATTATATTATTAAAATTTTTAATTTCATAACAAATAAACTATTTAATTAATAAGCTATCAAATTAATAAACAATTTTTAATAAAAATAATAATAAAATAAAAAGTATATATATGATATATCAATACAGATCACTGAGAGACTTTTTTTGATTTTCCAAAAATACTATCCAACAATTGATGAGTTTGAAAATTATAACGTGAAAAATATCAAATTGACTTCAAAATATGAATAGTAAAATTATACATCTACATCTACATCTATATATATATATATATATATGTGGAGAGAGAGAGAGAGAGCAGACCGATCTTTCGAGTGTTGGTGTTGGTGAAGAGATACATAAGAAGATGAACAGTTCTGAGACTGAAACTCTGATTGTAGCTAGAGAGCGCCCTCTGTAGCTCCTTATCATCGATGAAGCCACTCCCATCCTGATCCGCCATCTGGAAGCAAGTCACCACGCTTGGATCCGAGCCTGGTGGGAAGGCCGATGGCATCAGAGATGCGAATGGGCTTCCATAGGGCTGTGCCTGAGGAGGGTAGCCTGCTCCGGAGGGTTTGTCCTTGGGGGGCTTGTTGTCGGCGTAGGGTGCCGATGGGGGGGCTCCGTAGGACTGTTGGCCTGGAGCCGCTGGGGGGGCTCCATACGATGCGTAGGACTGTTGGCCGGCGGGTGGTTGTGCACCGCCGTACTGGGCGGCGGAGTAAGGTTGTTGCGACGGTGGGGGGCCGTAACCGTAGCCCGGTGCGTTGTGTTGTGGGTATCCAGACATTATTCACACTGATCGACAGAGAGAGCGATGAAAGAAAGAGAAAGAGACCGTTTCAGAATTTGACGCTGTATGCATGGCTTTTATAGAGGAGCTGGAGTAAAAGTTTGGGCTCGAGGTTGGCTGATATCACGAAACTGCCATTTATTTATTATTTAATAAAAATATATGCTTAACTAATTCTTTTAATGTTTCTATTTAATTGGAAATAAAAAGAATAGAGTAGAATTGTGATTTCTTAAACTTTCTTTTAGAATAGTCATTTTTTCAAAATGGTGAAAGATGATTTAATTTATAATGTATTTGTTTTTATTTTTTTAGCTTAATAAAAATTGAGAATGAATGTTTTGATAAAATCATCATTTTATTAGACTGAACCAAACACTACCTATGCAAAATAAATTTATTGTGTATGTATATTTTACTATCAATTATGCTACATCTCCTAATATAGCATCATTATTTTGATCCTTAATGAGATGAAATAGGGAGAGAATAGAAAGAGAGATTGAGAGAGGAGAGATGAGAAGTATGAGCCTACCTTTTCACATAATCTATTCTATGTCATTATGGGTGAATTAAGGTGCTCAATTGAGAGAGGATTGAGTCAAACATAAGAGAATGGCTCCTCGCTAATTTGTCATTGGATTGGATGGATTTATTGGGCTGTGGTGGGCCTTAATCCATGCTCATTTCAATGCTTCAAATAATTTCAATATGTAGAACTCGTCGAGTACACTATTCCTGTAAAAAATCACCTTAATTGGATATTGATAACTATTTGATCAGATCACTTTTTTGTTAACGACAAGTATGATTTTCAAAATAAATTTTGACAAAAATATGTTTGATCAAGTGGCTATCGATATCCAATTAATGTGATTTTTTACAAAGATAATATAGTCGATGAACTCTACATATTGAACGGTTTGGATTATTGAAATGGGCCCAGATTAGGGCCCAATAGGACCTTCCAATTTGAAAGCAAACTTGAGAGGAGCCCTTTCCCAAACTTAAAAGCTCAATTAAAATTTTAACATTTATAATTAAGATAAATGACAAATACACAATTTGAAATTTATTTAAAATATGAATTATTCCCTAAATTTTAGAAATTACATATCGCCCCTTGAAATAATCAAGTCAATTAATAGTTTTTATAACAAATAATTCCTTTTGTTAATAGTTTTTATGGCAATTAATAGTTTTTAATTTTATAACAAATAATCATTTTGTTAATAAATAATCAAGTCAATTAATAGTTTTTATAATTTCACAATTTTATTTTAATTAATAATTTAAATAAATTTATTATTATATAGAAGAGCAGTTGGAAATTTTATTTTTTCAATTAATTTTATTAAATAAAAAATCATGACAGGGGGTATTTGTAAACTTTTATACTACAAGGGGCAATTTGGAAATTGTAGACACCCCATTTTTGACCGACCTTAAGACTCAGAGGTCATCAGTTGAGCGCTCAGTGATATTGCATATAGTGCTCGTTCAGAAGTTTCAGAGTTTCGGCTGCGAGCCTTGCCTCCGGACTTTGGGGCTCTTGCGTGCTTTGCCTCAGTTCGCGAACCAGGCTCGGTTTTCTCTGTTTCTCTTCCAGAAGGGAGAGAGAGGTCTTGTAGATCATCTCTCAGTGGCCGTAGGCTATGTTTCGTGGTCGTAGGCCATTTTGCCCGTTTAGAGTCCAGTTTCTGGTTTTTCAGAGCCGTTGGCCGTGTGCCTCGGTTCAGGACCGCTTAACCACCTCCGTTTGCTCCGTTTTTTGGCATGCATCTTATTTACTCCCTTTTGAAGGACACTGCGGTCCGAAAAACCAACTTCGTGGTCGAACACCACTTCCGGTGCCTAACAGTCAGTTTTCGGGGCCTCGGGCTGCGCGTTTCGGCCCCCGAACCTCCATTTTGCATTGGTTTGAGTTCATTTTTGGCAGGGACCTCTGTTTCATTGTTAGGAAGGTCGTAGAAGGGTGGGAGGCCAGCAATTGTTCCGACGACCATGTTTTATTCCTCCATCGCCCTCCGTCGCCCGTTTTTCCCACTTGAAAGTCAATGTTGACCACCCTAAGGCCACTTTTTCTTGCCCCAAACCACATATTTGTGTTGTACACACCTGAGAGGCCACCAATATCATATGGCCGGCCAGTAATTGTGTGTGACCCTTTTGAACCCCTCCTAAAAGTGGCCTTTTCTCTCTCCTGGTTCATTCTCTCCAGTTTTTGACCACATGGTTGTGTTGTGCACACATGAGAGGCCCTCTTTTTGGCATGGCCGACCATTAATCTTCATTGACCCTTTTGACCCTTGGCCAACCGGCCATGGGAAAGGCCGAACGGCCACCTAAACCCTAGAAAACCGGCCGGCCATGATCCTCTCTCCAGGTACTTTACAAAAATGCCCTCTGTTTCCTCTTAGATTTTGTATTCGGGGGGGCCAACTTTTGGAGGAAAATCTGAATTCCATTCCCCCCCTTTTTTCTCCCCTGTTTTGCCTATATATCCAGGCCCTCCAGCTCCCATCTGAGGGGTTAGAAAATCTTGTCTAAGCCTCCTACATTGTATCTCTCTCTCTCTACACTCCAACCCTCAAAACCCCTCAAATCCCACACCCCTTTCTACACCACCACATAGCACCACACCACCACCATCCTTTCCAACACTTGGAGCTGGTTTTCCAGAGCTTAGGAGCACCTTTTCTCAAGCCAAGAGTTGCTGAAGCTTGGTCTACAAGGGTGAGTCTTCATTCTCTCTCTTTTGTGCTTTATTTTGTTCTATATCTAAGCCATACTTGCTTACATTTTTGGGCTCTGACCCTAACTGAAAATAGTCATGTTTTAATGTCTTTTTCATGATTGATTAAGGGTCCTTCCATGTTTAAGGTCTCTAGCTACCACTTGCTTCTTTACCTCTCTTGTATGCCTCTTTCTTGCATAGTATTTTAGGCTCATTTGTAAACTGTTTTGAGCTTGGTCATAAACTGAAAAGTGGCTTATTTTGAGCCTTTATTAAACATTGTTGAAGGACTCCTCACTGTTTGAGGCTTCCTTTTGTCACTTGCCTCTTCATCCCTCTTTTGGCCTTATTTTTGCATGTTTTGTTATCCCCTTGTGCTTGTGTTTTTGGGCTCTGGTCCGAACTGTAAATAGCCTTATTTTGACCCCCTCTTCATGTTTGATCAAGGGACTTTTTCTGTTTGAAGCTTCCTTTTTACTCTTTGTGTTTAAACCTCTTTTTAGGCCTTATTTTGCATAGTATTTTAAGCTTGCATGTGCACTGTTTTGGGTTTGGTCACTAATTGTAAAATACCATTTTTTGAGCCCCTCTTCAACTCTGTTGAAGGGATCTTGGCCATTTAGGGCCAGCAGCTGCTACTTGCTTCATTATCTCTCTTTTGGGGCCATTTTTGCATGTTAACTTAGCCCTATTTGTGTTCACTTTTTGGCCTTTCTTAAAACTGTAAATATGTTTGTTTTGGGACTGTCTTGATTCTATGTTCACACTTCGTGTTCAAATAATGCATGCTTTGCATAGCCATAGGTCATTCCATGTACCTAATTTCATGTTTCGGGTCTCATTCCATGTATCGGGTGCCATGTTTCCATGTTCTGGGGCTGTTTTGCATCATATTTTGCTACTGAAATTTGCATGCTAGTATGCCATATTCCATGCCTTGCCATGTCTTGGTAGAGTGGCATTTGGTGCCTTAGGGTCGATCCTCGGTTCGCGTGCACGTGGACATGCATTTCGAGTTGTCTCATTTTCATCGTATGGCTACTGATATGAGTGTGGCTGAGGTCCACTCGTGTTAGTGTAAGTCCATTATACATTGTGTATGCCATTTCATTTCATAGCATTGTGTATGCTAGGTTGTATGTTAGCGCAATGTGCATGCCATGTTACCTCGTGCATCGTGTATGCCATTTCATAGCATTGTGCATGTTAGGTTGTATCTTAGTTGCATTCATGCATGTCATGCATATTGCATTGTGCTTGGGATAGGGGTTAGTCCAAGCACGGGAAACGAGGTACGTTCCGTACTTCGAGTGACGGAACGTGTCTTAATTCCTGGTCGCCGATACTCCGGATTATCCATGATGGAGCCTCAGTCTTGTTATGTTTATATGTGCATTCATTTCATATCAAGTCGTGCAAATCGATTCCTCGGCCATCATGCATCGAGATACGTGATTGGTGGCACAAGGATCGAGGACTACATTCCCTGAAGGGTAGTCATGCATACATATGTGAAAATACTTTGCCATGCCCATTTCTTGCTCTCTGTTACAGCAAATCAAGAGTCAGCAGCCTTCCGGAGCTTGGCACGCATCCCAAGAACAATTGCAAACAGAGGCTAATTGGGGCATCGCAATAGATTTTCGCGCAAGGCAACCCGAACATGCATCATTCATCATCCGGATCAGAGTTGAGGCAGTCCCTGGCTTGCATGCCAATTTATTACTTTCCTATTTAATTTGTTAATTAATTAGGGTTTTGTACATATTTGGACTGTAAATTTGGGACTGTATATTATTTATTCGGACCCTCTACACGAGGGCAATGTTGTAATAAGTGTGCGTGTGTGTGATGTATGTCTTCCAACCTCACGTCTTTCTCCCTTTTATTTACCCGCTTATGATGGTTAGATTAGGGCATGTTCCAATTAGCATACAGTATGATAGCATGTTTGCATTCACTCATCTGTTTTGCATGCACCGGGCTCGATGTATCATACTAACTGCATTTGTATTGCAATTCTGAGTTGAATACTTGTTAGTTGTAGCATTTCACATGCCATCTTTAGAATAGCCGAGCCTATCTTAGTTGCATTTTGCATTTGTTGCATTAGGCATTTCTGTATAGTTAGGACCATGCATGGATTTCTAATTAGCTTCTGTTTTGGCTTGGAGTACTCGGTAAGTTTTATGCTTTAGCATCCTTGCATGCGTGTGAGTGACTACCATGAATAGCATGCTTACCATGAGGCTATATGCTT